CGCTTTTCACGATAGAGGACAGTTGATGATTGGACTATTTGCCAAATTGCTTGGACCAAAATTACGGCGGATTTCGTAAAAGCTAGAGCGGACTGGTTACAAGTTGGAAGCTGCCCAAAGTGATGAAACGAACAGAAAACGAGACATTTGATATCCCTAGTCTTTCCCTACTCAAAAGAAGCGCAGCACATCACCCGTTAGATCTTTATCTTCAAAAACGTGACTGGATTGTAACTGGATTAAGTCACTCACCAGCTTATATTTACCTACAGAAAGACAAAAAGAAGAAAGTAGGAAGCAAAAGACATACAAGCTAGATGGTTGGCTGTGGCCTCATGCATTAGCCCCGGGGTCTCCCTGTCCCGGACGGAGTACCCGATTTGAGGATCCAACGTTGATTCTCGCGGCCCGCCCGTTTGGTGTGGCAATCCTCTCCAGCTCGTCGGGATCATCTCAATGCACCACCACCTGAACCGACTTCGCTTTCGCTAACCACCACCACCACCACCACCACCACACCAAGGCCAACCACTGATGAAAGGCCAGCTTATATCATTCATGATGGAGTTGGAAGAGTGCGTTCCATACAAGTCACGCAAAGGCGGGTCAAGGTCTGTACGATTCAAGTCGTCAATTCTTCTCTATCATACACATGCATCCTCGCAACCCTTGACGCTTGCCGGCATCGAACCCTTTTCCATTCTCTCATGGCAAGGCCGCTTTGGTCTTTTTTCTTCTTCCACTGATTCCTCCTCTTCAATACCCCCCCTTCCTTTCGATTATTCTGTTTCTTGTTTGTACAATTCTAGCCTCATACCAATTAACCCAAAGAAACCTTGCAAAAGGACATCCAAGAGCAAACAGGGCAAAAGTAGAAGACATGAACTAGATAAACACATTACACAAACACTTCCGTGCTTGAACCGCCCCACTAAGTATATATAATAGAGGTATAGAGAGGTGTCTGCAGACTGGCGAGACATATATCATGTGCTGTAGCTTTCGGCCGTCAACGGTGCTTTGTGTAGCACCTCCAAAAAAGAAGGAACCCATTCTGTGGGGAATTATGGCACACTGCCTCATCCCAGAGATGATGGTGCTCCGATACCCGCCCAAACCAAAAAAATTCCAAAGAAAAAAGTCGATGTAAGTGATCGATGCGCACTTCGCTATCCCAATGCATGGTTTGCTCCTTTTCGCAAGAGGCAATGCGGCCACCATGTTGGTGACCTATATATCAAGTTTCGAGTGCGTGCGGTGCGAAAACTGGAGAGGTGTCGAGGGAGTGTCCTGGCCCAGGTGCTCATCCTGAAACGAGGCGCGCCGCATACTGATGACGGGTATAGGAGGCAGTGTTATGCCGTGGCACCAACCCCTATCCGAGCCGAGTCGCCCGGTTATATCATTGAACTGAGCTGCCGAGCGTCTTGAATCGGTTTTCGAACGCCTTCATTCTCTCCTTTTCCAACTCTTGCTGGATACGTCTGGTCTCACGTCGCGCGGCTTCGCGCTCCTCCTGCAGCGTCAAAACCTCGATTTGAGCAGTACTCATGCGGGCAATGACGTCTTGCATCTCCGAGTCGGCAACCGTAAGTGCTGTCTCCAGCTCAACGACCTTAACCCGCAGTCTCTCGATCTGCGTCTCGTCTTCGACGGACTGCTTCGGCATGAGACGGGGCGACCGCGGGAACATTGGCGATGGCATCGGGCTGAGACTCGACTTGCGAGGAGAGCGCATGCCGCTGGCACCGGGCGAAGGGCTCATACGGCGCAGCTGAACGCTTTGTGCGTCCTTCAGCTCCTTCAATTGCTCCTCGTGCCGAGCCACGCGCTCCTCGGATGAGATCTGAGCAGCTTGCAGTTGCTCCTCCAGGTTCTTGAGGCGACTTTGCAGGCGTGTGATGCGGTCGGCGTTAGCCTTGCGGTCGGCATCGCCACGAGCGACGGCTTCCGCGAGGCGCTGGCGGAGCTCAGAGTTCACGGACAGCTGGTTCTGAACTTGGGAGGCGAGTTCCTCAACGCGCTGAGCAGACGTACGGAGCTCATCAGCAAGAGCGCGCTCGCTCTCAAGGTGTGCCACCTCGCTGCCCGCCAAGCTCTCTAGTTGATCCTTGTAAGCCGAGGCTTCTTCCTTCGCCGCATCGCGCTCGAAGACGGCGGACGTCAGGGATGCCTCTAGCCTCTCGAGAGCCAGTCTCGTAGCCTCGTCTCCTACAACCATAGAGCCACTGCTTTCCAGATCCTTGATCTTGAGGAGGGAGTCTTTGTAAGCAAGTTGCAAATCCTGGAAGGCAGCCTCCAAAGATTCCGAAGTTACAGGAACAGACGCAGACTCATAGGTGCTGCCGCGAGCCATCGACGGGGGAATGAGAATATCTTTCTCCTTCAACAGTCCACGGAGTGCAGCGACTTCACCCTCAGCACGATCGAGATCCATCTTAAGGCCAGCGAGGCCCTTCTCCACTTGCCACTTCTGTTCGGCCGCCTCGTCAGCACGGCGACGCAATACATTGACCTCAACCCTCAGGTTGGAGATATCTTTGGCGAAGCCAGCTTGTCGTGGAGACGTCACCATCAGTCTCTCTCGCTCAACCTCCAAGGTCTTGATCTTCTTCTCATTTTCCCGATTTTGAAATTCTTGACGTTCGAGAAGGCTCTTCAATGCGTTGTGGAGAGCGTCTCTCTGGGCCTCGACGTCCTTCAAGCGCTCCGACAGCTGCTCTCGAGATTCGGTCACGCCTGACTTAACGGTGTTTGATCTGGTCAGTCCCAAGCCCGACGGCGCCTTTTGAAGGATGAATGGCATAGCCGTTACTGAGCTAGAACGGGCAAGGCGAGTCGAGCTGCTGGTTGCACTGCGGGCGCGAGTCTCTGGCTGTGGCGATGGTCCGGAAGACTTGAGAGCTTTGTTTTCCTGTCTCAAGACTTCCAACTCTTGCTGCATCTTGGATGATTCATAGGTGAGATTGGCATACTCAGATGCTTCGGCTTCAAGGCCATCAAGCTTTGATTTCAACTGGGGTACGATCTCGTCGCGAAGGTTGTCTCGCTCATTCGTAGTGCTCTGAAGCTCAACCTTGAGGACTGAGAGCAGGTCTTCGAAGTTAGACTTCACCTGCACCTCCTCTCCAAGCCTGCGGCGGAGATCCTCACATGTGTGCTCCAAGTCTCGAAGACGGTTGTTAGTATCCTCGTTATTGATCTGGGCAACGTCCACCTGTGAAGCTTTCTCTGCCAGTTCTTTAATCTGCTGGTCCAACTCATTTCTTCGTGACCGTTCATCTTGCAACTTGTTGGTCAGCTCCAGTCGCATCGAAGCCTTCTCTTGTTCTGCACGACGTTGAATCTTTTCGACCTCTTCCTTGCTCTGGTCGTATTCGCTAAACTTGGCAGAGCTATATCCAGAGTCGGAAAAGTAATCGCTAGTCCTCCTGCCGGAGGCTTGTGGGTTGTTGATCTCGGACTGGAGCCTATCGACGAGATCCTCGAGATCCATCTCGCGCCGAATGGACGATGCCAGTTCGGCACTGATGGCCTTCAGTTCGTCCTCCATCTCTTCGATTTGTAGGGATGGGGCTAAGGAGGAAGGCGGTGGTGTGTATAAATTTGATTCGCAATATCCAAGCGCATTTGTTGGTGTCGCATTCCCTTTTCGAGGTTCTGGCAGCAGTGACGGAACTCCAGTTGTGAGAGGGGTGTCATCTGTCAGAGTAGCTCGTCGAGGCGAATTAAGAGGCGATGAGAGAGAGGAGAACTCTGTCGTCGAAGGTGACGGCGAAGAACCCCAGCCGAAGAAGTTGGCTAGCTTGGAAGAGCCTGGTGATTTGGGAAGGGGCTTGTTGATCGAGGGAGTGGGAGTTGATGTAGTAGGCGTGAGTGACTGTCTGAGCTCCAGGACTGTGGTGACTGTTTGCGAAGAGTTGTCTCGATCCGTTGATAGATTCAGATGGGGAGGAGTAGGTTTGGTAGCGGGTATGGACATGATAGAGTTATCATTAGTGTTGTGACTGTAAATTGACTCGGAATCTTCGTCCGTGTCCTCCTCTTCCTCGATGATCGGCTGAGGAGGTGTCGCTTTCGGTAGCCTCGGAGAAAAGGTTGGGGTGACGTCGGAGGTCAAAAAGGCAGGTTCTGACAAGCCGTCTGAAGGTTTTGTTTGAGGGGATGCAAGGTTGGTGCTTGGGTTGTTTCGTGAAGCAAAGTAAGCCGCGTCGTCTGCCAGGTCGGTAGGTGGGGGTCTGCTTGCAACAGGTCAAAGTCTGGTTAGCTGCTGTTGGTACCGAAAGAGTCGTTTCCCGGCAGTCGAGGGAGGGACGACCCAGCAGAGGTCGAGCCAAGTTGGACGAAAAGGCAAAGGGTTCGGACTCACTGTATGTCAAGCTTCTGGTGAGCAGCTGGTGGCGCGAAGAGTGGGCGAACGTTGCTGTTGTTGCTGTCGGAAAACTCATAGAGGGTAGGGCTGTCGACAGAGTAGGATCTCGAGAAACGTGTTTCAGGGGCGGCAAAGGCCGAAGGTGACAGTATAGACGGGGTACTGGAACCAGAGCCGGTACCGTAGCTGGCGGCCAATTGAGAAGCTGTCGAGGAGAGAGGCTTCCGCTTGATCGCCTTGGCGGGATTGAAGGTAGGCGTTATGACTTGGACGGGCAGAGTCTGCGATCTGGTACGACCAGGCGAGGGAGAAGGTGAGGTTGCAGGGCGGTTGGGGTCGCGGTAGGGTGGGCGTCCACGGAGGTCATCAGATGAAGCGTTAAGAGTCTCAGATTTTGAAGGGTCTCCCGTGGCTCTCGGAGGGCGTTCGAGGTGAAGGTTGAGATGAGGTGGGCGAGGGTCGCGGGCCGCCATGATTATGAGTAGGGTCGAGATCTGAGCGGCGGTGGCTGTCTCTGTTCATAAGTGTCTTACTCTGGCTTATCTCTAGAGCCAAGTTGGGAGGCAGCAAGAGATATTCGAGACCAAGCTCGTTGTCCATTTGGAAAAAGGAAGGGCAAAAAGAGGAAATGGAACAGTATTGGGGGGATTTTTGGGAGGGCAAATGGTGGAAGAGGCCGCAGGGTGGGATCGCAGACGACGGCGACTGGCCAAAAAGGGGCCATGCTCGCGCACAGGGACCCTTGGAGATGGTGTGGGGCAGTAGTTGCAGCGTAGCGCTTCTGCTTTGGCGCCATTTCCCGTTTGGGCGCTTGGAGATGGTTCGCCCCAGCAACCCCGGGGCCACTGATATTGGAACCGTACGTGACATCCATGACACGATGGGTGCTGGGGCCGAAACTTGCACGTCTTCTTCTTTTTGGAGTTTGCTGGGCAGAATGGATCGATCTGAGAGGAGGATCGTGCTGTGTGTGGTTTTGTGGATAGGTAGGTAGGTAGGCACGGAGGAGGTACTCCGTACTTGACCTTGGACATGGGCGGGCGAGGAATAGGTCGGAAGGTCTCAAGGGAAGGTACCGCGAAGAAGACTTTCGTGAGGTGCCGTCGTGCCGATTAGACGCGAGAGTCACAAGAGGGTAGGTGGGCGTTGTGCAATGCGACTGGCTATTGCACTCGAGATAGGCCTTCATCTTGCTGTGCAGAGTGCTCCTGTGCCGTTTCCCAATGGCAGTCTAGAACAAAGCATCCAAGCAATCAGCAAATGAAGAGAAGATCGAACTTGGACAAGCGCCCATGTGGACTTGTAGAAGAGTATCCATCCGCCTTTCCCCTAGGCAGGTCGAAGGTGTTAGATGCGTCCTGTGGCACGGCGGTACCATGGCTCGTGGAAGGTGAATTGACCAATGGTCGAATGGGAGGCCTGGTTCGCGACATTCAGACACAGAGGAAACATCCTGGGCGGATCCAGGAGCAGCAAGGAGCAGCGTTGGTACCTTGCTCTAGCGCCCCTGGTCGGCGGCAGGGGTGAGACAACCGTTTTTTTGACGAATTCGAACAGGAGCAATTTTAGCCTCCTGCGCTAGCCCCGCCCAATCAGGTGAATCGGTACGTATTCCTTTCTTATCCATCCATCCTTGGGAAGGTACTCCACTCTTTTCTCCTTCCTCCCTGTCCAAACTCTACTGTACTATGTGAAGCACCTTCTCTGTCAGCGCCTCGCCGCCTCCACGCGGCGTGACAGGCTGGCAGCCAGCACCCACGCACACGACACACAAACGCGCAAACTCACTTACTGCGTACCTACTCCGTACCCACGCGCGCACAGTCACAGTTCCATCAGTCTGGTCCGGGACCTGAGTCTGAAGCTCTGTCCACCTCATGTCCTTCCCTTGTCAGTGACACACTGTCACTCATTGTCATTCAAGGTTCAGCCATGGCACGGCTGCTAATCGCTTCTTTCCCATGATAACCTCCTTCCTTGCTTCCGCCTGCACAACCACGGCTTGCCCTGCCTTGTGGTACCTTGCGGCTAGTATCCGGCCTCTCACATCCGCAGACTGGACGCACCTGTCCCTGCCCGCCTATAGCATACGAGTACATACGATGATTTTCACTGTCTGTGCTCCCCTGACGGTACCAAAAGAAAGAAAACTCGAAAGAGCAGAGCCTCTGGGAGGAGCCTCCCTTCGTGCCTTGCGTCCTTCCATACTTTCATGCTGCATGCATTGTGATGATCAATTCTCACAAACATATCTCCAAGCTGACCTCATCTTACCAATATCATGCAAGCTGCCCACACATGCCCCATTCCAACAATTCTTCGCACTTTCCGATCACCGATCAATTTTCTCCACCTCACTTCGCAGCCACCCGAACTCGACTCGAGTCACTCGGCTGCCAAACCACGCTCAACCCGCATCGTGTCACTGCCATTGCCATCTTTGACAACAATGCCGACTCGTCTTGTGTTTCGGTCCGCTACCCGACACAACGATAAGAAAGCCAAATAACGACAGCGATGCCGATGAACTCCCACCCGATTAGCCTTCCTGGTTAAAACGCTGACCATAGAGATGCCAAAGTCAGAACTCAGCCTGCTTGCCGCACACGCGAGGGAATAAACCAACATCACCTTACTTGGTCTTGGCTTTTTTTTTTTTTTCTCTCCTTCTTCTGCCAATGTTTCGTGCGTGTCGTCGAAACATTGAAACCGTCAGGCTTGCTTCTGTCCAGGACACTCCCCGTCTTCGTCTTGTCAAACCTCCAGCCTCATTTTCGCCTCGCCGCTCAGACTAAACTGACTCTCTTCGCCATCACAAAGGTGCAAACGGCCTCGTCCGGTTTTCCGGATCCCACTCAGGGTTACCTTACCTCGAAGGTTCAACCCATTCCTGGTCACTTCTACCACCAACCGGGGGCAAACACACAGACAAGATCATGCCTCTACCACTCACTTCATGCTCTACTACCACCAGTTTGGACGCCGATTCGAGTTTGGATACCCGTCAAAAAGTCAACGTCGGCAGCTCGGGTCCCTGTCATCTAGCCTAGAATGGCAACTTATGGCATCCACTGCACAGACGTGCCCACTCTATTCGTTCGAACACATGCTTCAGTCTGCTCGTGCTATTTGCACCACACGATGACTATTCAGAGTTTGTCTTTGGACTCAAGCCAGGCAAGAGGGTTGCAACAGCTGTACACTCCGCCCAGCCGCCACCGAGACCCAGACAAGCAGTCAAGCTTCCATGGCTTCTGATCAGAAGATCACCCGGGAGTTCGACAACTTCAACTTCAAACCCTTGGAACCACACAGCCATGCTGCATGCACGAAGTTCAGCACGAGAGCGAGACGCCTACAACTAGGCTCGTGCGATAGTTGCCTTACCTCGCGTGACGGAGCTAGCATCGTCTCGCAGATCGTGCAGCTGAGCGACTGCAGAGTATTACTCTGTAATTTTCCCCTGAAGCTTGCAATCTCCCCATTGGCCACCGGTCCAGAAACGATACTTGTTCAAAATGGACTAGCGCAAGGGACACGCATCTTGGTGTGTCGAACCCCGGTTCGAAGCGTGTCGAATGAGAATCGAGCCCTCACACGATATCTTGCCTTTGTTCTCAACTTCTTTCAACTTTCAGATCAGGGGCGCGATCGCTCTCACCACACCCTTCACCAGATCTCGGTCACCGTGAGACCATGGCCTCTGAGAGCTAGTGGAACCTCGGCGGTCTTTGGGCTCTAGTCTCCCTCAGCGAAATCAACTCGGTTTCTCCAAACCATGTTATGGTTGTCTGAGGACGAAACACTACGCGACAATATGAATCGGAGTTAGCGACTGCCCATGTAGACGCATTTTCACGTCGCAGCTATTAGTCTATACAACTGCGTTTGCTTCAAAACGATGACAGAAAAGTGATCGATACAAAGACAATCGCTCTCTCGCAATCGGTCCGTACGAATTGACGCGAAGAAAGGGCAATGGACAGCGGGGTCTTTCCCCCATATATTTCTTTGGCATGCTCCGGCCTCCATTGGTCCAAATTGAAAGCAGGGTTTATCACGATCTCCAGATTGGTTGCGAAGGATGCGGCTGCTTAGTCGGTGATTGCTAGTCTAGTGTACTTTCCCGTCCGAACATCCAAGGCAATGATCACCACGGCGATGCCAATAACGTCCGCTGCAACCTCCCAATTCGGGTCGATGGGTAGGAGGCTTGACTTCGCACTATAAAGACTTGGCCTCCATGTGTAAAGGGGGACATGACAACCGGCCACGCCCATGTTGGCGGCTATTTCGGGAGTGTATAATCCGTACATCCTGGAAACCGCTATCCTAGCCAGTGTGCTCCAGGCTCCACGGCATGTCAAGATACTCATTTCCTTAATCATCAACCAATATTGATGTGGGCGGCACCGCCTCACTGGGCCCTCAAGCCGGCCTTGGCCTCAAATTGCACTTCGGATATTCCACCAGGTATCTAACTGCCAAGGCTCCAGGTCAAGTTGCTGAGTCTAAATCAGCGAAACAATCGACCTATGAGTTACCATCCGCTGTATTTGACCAGCAACCCTCGATCAATCCTCAGCCGAGGCGTGTTTGAGGCTGAAAATCTCAAGCTGCCACCCTACTGATTGCTGTAGCCTGTCAGCTCCAATTTGTGGACCACCCTTTTAACGAAGAAAAGATTATGGCATCTTCACCATTTAGTCCGCAAAGGATCACGAAGGTAACCAGCGCGACTGCGTCTAATAGGACTAGATACACGAGACAATTGTGGTATCTTGCGGCTTGGGACATCGAATCCAACTGGCTTTAGGGCTTGCGATCGAAGCACACATATCTCGAGGAACGACATTCTCCGACTGGGTGGACATACACTACTCAGGGGTGGCCGCAGAGCAAGGATGCTCATCTCAGACTTTGCCATTGCCACACTGCAACTCGAGAGCGAGCAGATGGGCGAAAAGCCAATAGCTTGCACTACAAAAACAAGTTGAGAAGCATTTCGGGTCCCGGAAACGTTTTATCAATGACCTCCTGTTTTCAGAGCCTCACCAATCAAGACCAAATTGCAGACATCATGGTCGATTAGGTTTCTGAGGCTCCAAAGGGGTATCCTTAAGTTGGCAATCTGTTCGATGATTCTGCCTAGTAGTAGAACTCGGAATTTCGGCTCCGGAACGCTCCTCATCTAATGATTTCAGAGACTTTGAAATATCTCTAAAGTTTGGAGAGCAGTCTACGCCGAGTCGATTGCACATTGCGGGGTTCAGCGCGCCACCGAGGAAGGCAAAAGAAACGGATGCGATGTCGTTTCGCAAAAAGGATATCGCCAGGACAGTCGTCTGCAGACAACAGGAAGCATCAGCCAAGCTTTGTGGCGGGAAAAGACTAAAGGAGGCGGGCGTCTCATGGGACTAGAGAGAGCGACTGCGTCGAGGCGAAAGCAGAGAAGTTTGAAGCTGTTTGCCATTCCCGTGACGAGATCATCGCCGTTCGACTTTGGGCAGAGCGAGAAAGGCATAGCTTTGCTGCAGAGTTGGGGTCGAGTCCATGGCCCCACCTGACAAGCGTTGTTCTGTTCTAAAGATAGTGTCACTACCGCACTCCGGGAACTCAACATCGAACAACTCTAACCAGGGAGAGCCAGCAGCAACTCGATCACGGGGTCTCTTTCCCTCTACAATCTCTTCTGCTGAGGAGCAACAAACGGTCTTTGATGGCGTGGTTTAATGCCACTACTTAACGAACTGACCAGTCTCACTCGTCCATGCTGCTGACGCTAATTGCCGAAATGTGGCCGCGGTGATAGCTGTCGATGAAAGAGGAAGTCAAGTGGCGGGAGACGCATTAGTCGGCAATTGACCGCACAACAGTAAGAATTCAGACATGAGGTTTCCGGATTTTTATTCTGTTGCCTGTTGTCAGGGCTTGGTGTTCGGGGCTATTAG